AACACTTGTCATCGCTCTGAATTCAATAGGTTGATAAAGAAAACTATGAAGATTCCCTTAAGTACATTACGAGCAGTGTTTTAACTTTTTGTATTAAGTATGGAAAGCCATGAGAAACCACCTGCCCTGAGGAGAATATTTGGAAGGAGAGTGGTCCTAGCTTTTGAACATGTAGCAGAGCTCAGCTCACAAGATGGGCTTCTAAAAGTATCACACATAGGCTTTTTGTGACTGGCAGTTTAGGCCCATCTGACATTCCAACCGGAAATTCTCCTCCTCCACGCTTCTTCTTTGTTATAGGATGTCTATATCGATAACTTCCTCAATTTCTAAATCAACCATCGTAATTCGAGCTAATTTAAGAATATGTCCCTTGTGAAACAAGGATAACTGACCCTTAAAAAGTGTGAAAAGTATCAAACCTGATGGAAATTCTCTTCTAATTCTTCACTTAATCAGTTTGCTATGAATTCAGATGCGATCCACTATATCTTAAAATTTTACTTACTGATAATATTATAATTCATTGAAAAAAAAAATAGAATTGTAGAGGAATCAAACCTTAAAACATCGTAGATATGGTCATGAAAATATAGGTATATATCTNACTTTTTTTTTTTTTTTTTTGACTATTTCAAGTATCTTGTGTTACATTATTTGGTTATCTTTTCGATTTGTATTTGTTTATCTAGAAGTGGATGATACTAAATAGAAGAAAAGTTGTACCTAATACACAAGACTTTTATCTCTAATGATCAGGTCTTGTATAAACAAGTGAAAGTCAATTTTATCCGTATTTTCAAAAAATTAATTTTCGGGTTTGAACATACAATATATCATTGAGACAGATGAACATTTTTCATCGATCCAATCAGACTTTGTGCTAAACAATAGTTCACTTAAAGAGAACGATGTTTAATATTAGTTTACTTTGGTAATATCACTAGCCACTAACATGAGAGGGAAAATGTTGGTTGGCTAATTTAACTATATCTACCACACAACTTATACAACTTTTTTTTTACTACAAATGCAATGATAAAAGTATAAAGTTTACACAAAATCTCTGAATACATAAAACTTCAATCCCATTTTGTGGAGATTGATTTCCAAACATGAATCGACGATATATTGCTAAGAGAAATGAACAATTATTATCGCTCTAAGGAAAGTAATTTAATTGTATCAACCACACAACTTATACAAATTTTTTTTTTAATACTTCAAAGGCAAAGATAAAAAGTATAAAGTTTACACAAAATCCCTGAATACATAAAACTTCAATCTCATTTTGTAGTGATTTTCGAACACAAATTAACGACATATCACTCAAATGAATGAACACTTGTCATCGCTCTGAATTCAATAGGTTGATAAAGAAAACTATGAAGATTCCCTTAAGTACATTACGAGCAGTGTTTTAACTTTTTGTATTAAGTATGGAAAGCCATGAGAAACCACCTGCCCTGAGGAGAATATTTGGAAGGAGAGTGGTCCTAGCTTTTGAACATGTAGCAGAGCTCAGCTCACAAGATGGGCTTCTAAAAGTATCACACATAGGCTTTTTGTGACTGGCAGTTTAGGCCCATCTGACATTCCAACCGGAAATTCTCCTCCTCCACGCTTCTTCTTTGTTATAGGATGTCTATATCGATAACTTCCTCAATTTCTAAATCAACCATCGTAATTCGAGCTAATTTAAGAATATGTCCCTTGTGAAACAAGGATAACTGACCCTTAAAAAGTGTGAAAAGTATCAAACCTGATGGAAATTCTCTTCTAATTCTTCACTTAATCAGTTTGCTATGAATTCAGATGCGATCCACTATATCTTAAAATTTTACTTACTGATAATATTATAATTCATTGAAAAAAAAAATAGAATTGTAGAGGAATCAAACCTTAAAACATCGTAGATATGGTCATGAAAATATAGGTATATATCTATCACAAGAAGGTGGGAAGTTCATGGGGGTACTCATGTCATTATACTTGTTTGATTTGGAATTGTTGCATGGGGTATCATGTCATATGTATCCTTGGTGAAGTGTTTAAACATTCAAAAATCCACCTTTATAAAATTTTATTTTTTGATAATATATATAGTGAGTACCATCCATGCATGTAGTTAATAATCCCAAGACACGCCACCAATTTCTCAAGTATTTTATCCATTTAATTATAATATAAATTCTAAAACTTATTGAAACATTCAACACACAAAAACACACATCGGTGTCGATTTTTCACAATGTCATTGTTATTCTAATTGGGAGGGGAATATTCTCACATTTTCACAGCAGACAAAAGGGATATACAGAAGGACGATATGCAGAATATCACGACACGTGTCACGAGGAGAATCTCTGCCAATGGAATGCATGTTGGAGAGAGAAGAGAAGAGAAGAGAATCGGCAGAAAAGGTGTGTGTTGGAGCCTTGTACGAGAAGACTGATTATAGAAAGTGACCAACCATCATCATTCCACACCTCCCTATCCCTTTCCCTGCCAAGGGAATTCGATTCCCTCTCTCTCTCGCTCTCACACACACACACACACACACACTCAACACACTTAGTTTTCATGTAAAAGGTCTCTCTTGCTACTAAATTGATGGCTGCAAATGGGTTGAGTTAACTCACTATTAATTCCTTATTGAGTTCATACTCATTTAAGAAAAAAATTATAGCTTAAAATGTTGGCTTAACAATTTATTTTGCTGATTAGGAGAATATTAAGATCTCTTAAACTACCCGACTAATTCTTTTGAAGGTACGCAATCCCAATATTCTATATGCACTAGACATGATTATCAAGATAAAAGATTTTAGGAATGATCTAAAAAATAACTCAAAGACTTCCAAGTTCACCTACATATTATGTTGGTATAGAACTAGAATTATCCTCTAGATACTAGAAAGGTAAAGGCCTCTCTCTCTCTCAGACACACTAGTTTGTCACATAGAAAACTATAGTCTTGCAAAACTTCCTCAAGATATCAAATGCTTAAGGGGAAAATCTGTCAAGCAACTAGCTAGTGCCTTCCCCAGTGTTAAAAATGAGAAGACTACAAGAAGCTTGCTAGGGTATGAATTAGGAGTGCCAAAATATTATACATGTTAACACGACACGAAATTAGAGAGTTTGAATTTTTTTTTAAATCACATGTTTTGTAAGTGAGTAGATTCAACACGATATGACTAATAAACGAATTAAGTATGAGTGAAGTCAATCAATAGAAATATACGGCACAACTTATTTATATGCTGAATATATATTATTCATAAACTACATGAATCTGATATAACACGATTCATTAAACATGAATTAATAAACGAATCGAGTATGTGTGAAATATTTTCTAACATGAACTTACTAAAACCTAATATGATTGACAGACCTAGTATAAACCCCATTATCATCTCCTAATAATTGAAAAGGAAAAATCCATCTATGCCGATGTAGCGGAAATATTCCGACCCAAATTGTATATACATACCAACAAGTTGGTCCAAATTATAAAGATTTAGTGATAGATATTTTGGTCAAAATAACAGTTTGGACCATCTGGATCCTGACCCAGATCCGAACTTTTTCTTGAAGTTCAAAAAACCCTAAGAAAAATCCCCTAAAATGTAGTGAGAATCTTCCTAGCTTCCTACCCACTTCACTAGAGCTAATGGCAGAAGAAGATTCCCATCTATTAGCCAGCTTCTTTATTATTCTTTTGGGGATGATTTCTGTCTTTAAGCTTTGTGGGCTGTGTTCCTTAATTTAGAGTCGTAGAATTGGAACACAGTTATTCTTTCCTTAGAAGCAAATATTATATTCTTTATTATGAATGTCTCATAGGTTAGATTAGATATTCTCTCTCCCTCTCTCTCAATGCACTCAAATGTAGAACAATTATGCAACTTTTGAAACCCTAAAAGAAAGTTGCATGGTGGATTGATACTAAACCCCATTTGAATATGTCCTTTCTCTCCCTTTCTCTCTTTCTCTTGTAAAATGGTAAAAAATAGAAATGGATGGTACTAGTATATGCTGGCTCTGTCAAGAACTTTGTGCTAATTTAACATTATAGAATCATTAATTCATATTTAAACATGGTAGAATAATTTCTTAAGGATGCCTACTAGTACAAATTAGCCGTACACGTGTCCAACTTCAAATGATCAGTCAATCATAGCCATTCAATCAAATTCTAACCCTTTTTGAAACTTTTTTGTGGGTTGTGGCCAATTCTACTCTTTTACCATCTAAAGGCATATTATGGATTTTATTGCTTCCTCATTCTTGCCTTCAAAATTTCCGGCTCAAAAAATCTTCCATGTGGATCCTATTAGAAGTGAATATAACCCACTTGATGCATGCCACGTGTACATTCCATGCATTAACGTATGGACTGTAGCTAATTTTAATTAGTTTGTAAGATACCCATTACATGAGGCTTTTCATAAAGGATTATACCCCATTAACGGATGCTGATACATGAACAATGAGCAATGTTAAAGGGTAAAAGAAAAGAAAAAGTACACTAGGAGGAAGAAGAAGAATCATCTTTTATATTGGTGATTTGAATTCGTACAAAGACAACCCCAAAGGTTCTAAAACTCTCTCCCCCTCTCATGTGTCAGAGACTCAGAACCCTCTTGATTCCTTCTCTAAGGGCACCCCTCCACACAAGTAATTAGCTTTTGTGTCATTGATCTTTGCAAGAAGTTACCATCTCTCTACTTTATCTTCTTGCTTTTCCTTTTCCTCTCTTTCTCTCTCCAAAACCACACTTTATTCTCCCTCGAACTCACCCCTAAAAAGAAGACGATCCCCCCTCCCCCTCGATCCTCCTTGTGTTCACAAACAACATCTCCTCTCTCTCTCTCTCTCTCTCTCTCTCTTCCACCCCTTCAGCATCTAACTAGACAAGAATAGCCAACATCTCTCTCTCTCTCTCTCTCTGTACCATCCTATTCTTCCTATGTGTGCATGAACGTGCAAGATTGTTGAATATATATAACTGTTATAGGAGATAAACACAAATGATGGCCTCACCGTCTGAACTAAGCCTTGAATGCAAACCCCACAGCTATTCTATGCTGCTAAAATCTTTTGGAGAGCAGAGTGATCACAAGACACAAAAGCTCGAGGAGTTCCTTGCTCGTCTGGAAGAAGAACGGCTCAAGATCGATGCATTCAAGCGTGAGCTTCCTCTCTGCATGCAACTTCTCAACAATGGTAATTGTCTCACTCACTCTCTCCTTCATACTGATAAGCATATTCGAGAGTTTTCTCCCCCCATTTGGACATTAAATCGGAGGGTAACGGTATTGGAGACCAAAGTACCATTCCCTAATGGTCATTACGGTTCATAAGGACTGATTTTCAAAACTATCTTGATTCTCGAATCTCTGTTTATTTATATGTATCGAATTCATACATTTAGTATAGCTAGAATCATTAACATTAAGATTCAAAAGAAATCTATTTTACCATGTCTAAGTGTATATTCATGGCCAGTGCAATATTACCTAGCTTTTAGTCTTTTCTCTTTATCTTTTTCAAGTTAATAGAAGCAAAGCTTTTCATGTGCGCATAACTTTATTTTTGAGCTCATCCCTTCTTAATTATTCAAAGTAGCCTAGTATTCCCAGATTTTAACATTCCAGAGTAGAAAAGCCGACACAATTTACTTTTAAAAAAAAAAATTCTAATTTTTAGGCCTTTTCCCATAATTTGTTCTTATATTCTTTGTTAGTATGTTATTACCACTTACCAGCTATGAGTATAAACGAAAGCTCTCTCTTTTTATGAGTAATATTAACAAATTCTCTATTTTCGTTCTTGATTTTTGTCATGGACTAATCAGCCATGGAAGATTCAAGGCAGCAGCTGCAAAGCTACAGAGCAAATGAAGTGCCACGACAAGTTCTCGAAGAATTTATTCCCCTTAAACATTCAAGTGCTGAAGGATCGGAAAAGGAAGCAAACATGTCTGATAAGGCAAATTGGATGACTTCTGTGCAGCTGTGGAGCCAAACCAATGATGAAACCAATCAACAATCTCATTTGACATCTCCTAAGGAAACCGAGATAGGTTTCAATGTTAGTCCCAAGCTGGATTTAGACAAAAAACACATAAATGGTGGAGCTTTTCTTCCATTCTCCAAGGATCGAAACTTGAATCCAAGTCCGGTGTTAAGGGCTCTTTCTGACTTGGCCCTTGCTTCAACTGACAAAGAGATGGAAGATAAGAGGTGTTTGGAAACCGAGTCCATAAAGGAAGTGAAGGTTAACAATGGAGTTGGAGAAACTGAGCAAGGAAAGGGAGGTGGTTGTCCGACGGATTCGCAAACCACCACTGCTACAACTAATAGGAAGGCGAGGAGGTGTTGGTCGCCGGACTTGCACCGGAGGTTCGTGAATGCTCTTCAGATGTTAGGTGGTTCTCAAGGTAATAATAGACTTTGAAATAATGCACACTAAGAAGGTTAATGAAACATATGAATTTGTATACATAATATAACTAAGCTTGCGGTGATAAAAAAAAAAATCATCAAGAATCACCACAATTAATTATATAGTTTTATTTTTATATTTAATTTTTGGTATCACTCTCTCAATATATATGTGGAGTTATGGATAATTTTTTGTGGACTATGATTACAGTGGCCACCCCAAAACAAATCAGGGAGCTGATGAAGGTTGATGGTTTGACTAATGATGAAGTTAAAAGCCATTTACAGGTCTCTCTCTCTCTCTCTCTCACACACACACACAGAGAGACTTGCATTAAAGAGTCCATTTTTGTCCTATTTCACGTTAGAAAGATGTCTGTACCACACTGCAGGTCTGGACTCTCTGCATATTCTAATCTGTTGTACAAACTACAAAGTATAACAAACACTAGTCTTATACTCTCTGTATATTCTTACATGTTTGTTTTTTGTTATTTGCATGTGTGTGGTCTGTGACAGAAATATAGACTTCACACAAGACGACCCGGTCCAAGCCCACAAGGTGGAGCCACTGCAGCACCACATCTGGTGGTTTTAGGTGGCATATGGGTCCCACAAGAATATGCCGCCGCCCATAGTGGTGCACCGGCCGCCATCTACGGTGCACACCCATCCACTCATCCCTCTCCACATTACTGTGCACCACCAGTGCCCCAAGAATTCTACCCTGCACCACCACCACAATCTCAGTTACACCACCATGCACTCCACCACCAACTCCATATGTGCAATCAATCCTCACAGACCCACAGCTCCCCTGAGTCCGATGTCCGGGGCACCGGCGACCGGTCCGAGACCATCGAAGATGACAAGTCCGGAAGCAGCAGCTGGAAGGCTGGCAGTGGTGGTGAAAATATAGGAGAGAGAAAATCCCTGGTGACCCGAGAGGAAGGTGCAGAGAGCAATGGAAGTGAGATCACTCTCAAGTTCTAAAATTTTTCTGTGCTTAGGATAGGAGTTTTATGTCTAGGTTTAGGTTTAGGTTTAGGTTTAGGGTTAGAGTTAGAGTTACTTTACTGTTATAATCTTCCTTCGGGATAATTAGACATAGAGAGGGTAAAAGGGGGCATAATGAAAAAGTGACTGGTTGTTTTTTGTTTCTTATCCATTCAATGCTTTAATGTCTTGTTCTATCAAAAAAAATTTTTGAACACACACTTAACACAACCCCTTAAAAGAAAAAGAGAAAGTGTCAAGTGCAGTGCAGTATTTAAATTAACACACACACCCAAAATTATCCGATGTTATATCAAAAAAATTGAAGGTGGTTGTACTAAGTTCAGTATCGAAATTTAGTCATAGAAATTTGTGGTTTATTCTATAGAGGTGAACCCAATGTGATTCTCTCTCTCTAATTTTTTTTTTTCCTTAACGTTCAGTTTAAAAAGTCTTGTTACAAATTCTTTTCGATGCAAAGCATTTTCATTGTTCAAAAAGATCAAGACTTCAAAAGTCATGGTAAATATTATGAGGAAAACAAGTGAGATGTCCTTTTTTTTAAATATTGAAACCCTTTTTTAATTGATGTGTATGTATGAGAAAAAGAGTTTTTCTTAACAAAATAAGGGAAAATAACCTAGAATTATTATTATAGCTTATGCTGTGCTGCTGTGACCAGTGGTTAGATGGAACTTTTATCCTTTTGAGGGCAGAAAGTGCCACGTATTAAGCCAAGGCAATGCAATATCCAATTAAAACTTTAGTCTCAAGCATTAATATTTAGAATTTGTATTATTGAAAGGAATTTTTTTTTTTGAAAAAAGTGGTGTGAATTCTAAAAGAAAGATGTAGCTAAAAAAAAGTACACTTCTTCTCACCGTTCAAAACTAACACTTACTTTTGCTACCAAAGAAACCCTTTAAAGTCATTTTACCCTTTTCCATTTGTATTAAATGATTTTTATTTATTTATTTTTGACTGGAAACTTCTTAATCTATTAACATGATCTCTAATCCAGTAGCAATCAAGTGGATTGGTATATCTCAAAAGGCTGAACACTGCTTTTCTTTTTGAATTGAATGTAAAGTACACAAGAACAGTGACACCTAAACCTCTTCAAATCATTCTATTTTTTTTTTTTTTAAATGACGAAGAACCTTTTCGAGACAAGGTTACCTTGGATTTACCAATGCAGATATTCGGTAAATTCAAGAGTGACTACGAAAAGTCCATTCCAAGGCATCAGAGTTTATAATTTACGCTAAATTATTGCAATACCAAAGTGAGTTTATACTGTTCGAAGTTGGTTGAAACAGAATTGAATAAAAAAGTCCAAAACACAACTTTTTTTTAGAAGGGGGGGGGGGGCTATTACTAAGCTAATAGGATAATTTTATGGTAACCTACTCCCATGTTTGGAATTCAAATTCAATACAAATGCATTGCAAGCTTTTATATGTTTTACACGGCTGATAATGGGTACAAACTAGTATGTTTATCGCCCAAAAATTATCCTAAAATGATTCTGCTCAAATCCATATCAAACAAATCTTCAACATCATGAAAAAACTTTATGTTAATCAAAAAAGATATGCAAACTACTCCAACTACAAAACTTAAAACCCTTAACCCTAAGTGTATGTTTAGTTCGGGTACAAATAAATGATGGAATTTAATAATCGGTTTCATCTACTCCTTACAAATGGGATTAATACAAGTATTATTTGATTCTATCCTTTGTGTAACAAATTTGAATCAAGGTTGGAATAAGGTATACATCCATAATTATAATACTAAATTTATGTTTGGATTAATTAACAGTGTATAGTATCAAGAGTACTCCTTGTCTTGTAAAGGTTTTGTCTTATTGAGGTCAAGGGTTCAAGCCCCTCTCTACCTCCCCCTCCCCCTCCCCAAAAAAAAAAGTTAAAAATTACAAAACAAATATTGAGGACAAGAGTTTGTATAATGTATAGCTTTTGTACGAAGGTGTGGTTTGTAAAAGTAATAAAGTCATTGTGTTTTAATACTAAACTTGTTAAGAATAATACCGGCTTCCACATGATATTCACTAATACCTAATATTAGGTGTTAAAAGGCAATAACAAAACGGGTCAGGATTAATGAGAAATTAATATCAGGTTGTTATAATTTAACCTAAACTTGGTATTACTTCCTCACCAGATTAAATTAATTCAATTTTATCTCTTAATACTTAAATCAAACAAACCCTAAATCTTTAAAAACACATCAAGCATATTCAATTTTAGAATACTTAATCTTCAGATAGGACTTCAAATCTATGTCTTTCACTTTCATTTTTCACTACACTAAAAAGAGATCCGGAATTAAGTGCCAAAATCCTACGCACCATCCCCGACAACAGTTTAAGCAAAATCAAGATTTGGTAACAAAGAAGGAACCAAAAGGGTCGCTTGATTACTTTTCCAACCAACCCTTAGGAGTGATCCAATAGTTGAGTCTGTTTTTTGGTAATTCAAAAATCTCAAGTTCAACCCCTTCCCACACCCTCTAACAATTAGTCACCCTTGTTTATTTGGATACATGTTTAGACCAGTTCAAACTATAGTAACCAGCCGTTGAGCTTGAAGAATAGTCGACACAAGCCTATAGCAAAAAAAAAAGATTACTTTTCCAACCTAGTCGAAAAAGCTTCTTAACAATGCAGAATGCATGGCCAGACAGCACTTTCCCTTCGCCATCTCTTTTTCTAAGTTGATTCAACCCCTGCTTTTTGACAACAATTGTACCCAAGTTGGCATTCACACCTAGTCCTAATCACCCGGACACCCAAAGAGTGGCCGTTATAGCTAAACAGTACGATTAGGAAAGTTGAAATAGGCACCCATTCTCAACACTCTCTGCAGGAGTATCATTTCATGCACTGGCTCGAGGTGTATCCCAAGAATATCGGCACCTTCAAAGATATTTCTTTGGGTAGTAGTACTAAACCCTAATTATTTCACCTAAATTGTTTATCTACGTAATTGTCGTTGTTGGACTAGCAAGGAGTCCTAATAGCTACTGCAAATGCAACGCAATCTAGTTTCGATGACTGCACACCTAGTAGTATATTATGTAACAGGATTGAAGACCTTTTGACGTTGGGAATATTACAAGTCTGCATACTAAGACTATCGAGACTATGGGTCCCTATGGTGCGACCCCGCCTAGGTCGAACGCTATCCCAGCCCAGGCAAACTGGTCTTTGCATTGCATTGGTTAAAAAGGATGGAAAGCACATCAGGTATAGGAAGGACTCCTTACAGGAGGACAGGGGAAAAACCTATAGTAGGGGTGATAGCTGACTAGCATTCACTAGAAGCTACTGACAAGGATGAGATGATTTGATCGGGTTGCCTGTTGATCTGTAGACCTGATTTGGCATCATTCAAAATCACGGTATCAGCCATCAATTCGGAAAATTCTGAGACAAATCTGTCGCGGCGTCGCAATACTGTATCAAGCAATACGACATAAAAAAAAATATTGAACATGACGAAAAATTCAAATCATATCGTAGTGTCATAAAATCATATCAACCAATTCTGTGACGATATTTTGATGATTCAAGATTAACTCGAATACAACTCGGACAACTTGGCCGATTTGTGTGAAACTCGGGATTTATACGTATCGTTTAATGGTATTGTCTCCTAAGATACCGAGACAGATACGACTCGACCGACTCGCATCGATATCAGCCGATATTTTGAACCATGGGACCATGCAACCACCCACTGCTTCACTCCAACACCAAGCCGACTAGAAGAGAAATTTCCATGACCCAACACTTCCCCAGAGCAAAGTTACAAAGGTAAGAAATAAGATCAGCTAATAGACTAGCATGGCTACCAAGAGTGAATTGGCGAGAGGGGGGATGGGATGGTCGCCCAAGAATGAAAACTCATGAGTACGGACTATGAACACCTTCAACACGATGCAAAACCACATGACTAGTACTGAAGTGTACAGACAAAGGCCACCCCCACCTCATCTGCATTACAGTGGGATTCCCACCATTCGAAACTAAATACACGACCTTTAGGAGATCCTCACCTCTTCCCTTATCAAATAATGATGCTGCCAGCATTCACTCCAAATAATAATAGTAACATAGAAATTTTCTATGCATCAACAATCAGACATTTTTTTAATAAGAAACAATAATCTCAGATGGATATTTTGTGTGAGAACAAGAAAATCCTACACAAGATACTTCTATCTCTATTAACCATGATGGCCATACTAACGTCAATTGTCTTACCAAGGCCAAGCTCAAAATGTTGGTTTAAAGCAAAACACAATCCTAATGAAGGCCATTGGGCTATCTTTTAAGCTACTTCCCTAAAGAAAGTTCACAAGTAATAGCATCCATTCAATGACGCTAAAGCTTTGACAGCCCAGAACAATACAAAAACAAAAATGGGCAATCACATATCAAAGATGAGTTGTAACGAGTACTAATTAACAAGTTTACATGAAAATAAGTATGTCATTCATACTAAAAGAGGANCTTTGGGTAGTAGTACTAAACCCTAATTATTTCACCTAAATTGTTTATCTACGTAATTGTCGTTGTTGGACTAGCAAGGAGTCCTAATAGCTACTGCAAATGCAACGCAATCTAGTTTCGATGACTGCACACCTAGTAGTATATTATGTAACAGGATTGAAGACCTTTTGACGTTGGGAATATTACAAGTCTGCATACTAAGACTATCGAGACTATGGGTCCCTATGGTGCGACCCCGCCTAGGTCGAACGCTATCCCAGCCCAGGCAAACTGGTCTTTGCATTGCATTGGTTAAAAAGGATGGAAAGCACATCAGGTATAGGAAGGACTCCTTACAGGAGGACAGGGGAAAAACCTATAGTAGGGGTGATAGCTGACTAGCATTCACTAGAAGCTACTGACAAGGATGAGATGATTTGATCGGGTTGCCTGTTGATCTGTAGACCTGATTTGGCATCATTCAAAATCACGGTATCAGCCATCAATTCGGAAAATTCTGAGACAAATCTGTCGCGGCGTCGCAATACTGTATCAAGCAATACGACATAAAAAAAAATATTGAACATGACGAAAAATTCAAATCATATCGTAGTGTCATAAAATCATATCAACCAATTCTGTGACGATATTTTGATGATTCAAGATTAACTCGAATACAACTCGGACAACTTGGCCGATTTGTGTGAAACTCGGGATTTATACGTATCGTTTAATGGTATTGTCTCCTAAGATACCGAGACAGATACGACTCGACCGACTCGCATCGATATCAGCCGATATTTTGAACCATGGGACCATGCAACCACCCACTGCTTCACTCCAACACCAAGCCGACTAGAAGAGAAATTTCCATGACCCAACACTTCCCCAGAGCAAAGTTACAAAGGTAAGAAATAAGATCAGCTAATAGACTAGCATGGCTACCAAGAGTGAATTGGCGAGAGGGGGGATGGGATGGTCGCCCAAGAATGAAAACTCATGAGTACGGACTATGAACACCTTCAACACGATGCAAAACCACATGACTAGTACTGAAGTGTACAGACAAAGGCCACCCCCACCTCATCTGCATTACAGTGGGATTCCCACCATTCGAAACTAAATACACGACCTTTAGGAGATCCTCACCTCTTCCCTTATCAAATAATGATGCTGCCAGCATTCACTCCAAATAATAATAGTAACATAGAAATTTTCTATGCATCAACAATCAGACATTTTTTTAATAAGAAACAATAATCTCAGATGGATATTTTGTGTGAGAACAAGAAAATCCTACACAAGATACTTCTATCTCTATTAACCATGATGGCCATACTAACGTCAATTGTCTTACCAAGGCCAAGCTCAAAATGTTGGTTTAAAGCAAAACACAATCCTAATGAAGGCCATTGGGCTATCTTTTAAGCTACTTCCCTAAAGAAAGTTCACAAGTAATAGCATCCATTCAATGACGCTAAAGCTTTGACAGCCCAGAACAATACAAAAACAAAAATGGGCAATCACATATCAAAGATGAGTTGTAACGAGTACTAATTAACAAGTTTACATGAAAATAAGTATGTCATTCATACTAAAAGAGGATAAGAGAGTACACAAAAAAGGGGGGTGTGAATTAAGTTGCATATACGCGTATATAAATAGCTTTCAAACGCAAAACATACTGTTAAACCTCAATGCATTGTCAAGCATTGCCATTTGCCAGGATCGCATCCCTTACACCCACATCATCACCATATTCCACCTCTATCATCGCTGAATCGACAAGAGACTGCAAGTAGAAAAAGCGGAATAAGTTAACTGCTTGTATATCACAATGCCCTTATATCTGAAGCTCTGGAATAAAAACTGCTCATTGCTTGTGACAAACTGTTCATGCATGTGCAAGTTATAAATGATGAGTAAGGAACAATATCAACACAAACCCAAATACATGCATCCAGAATCTCAAATGCAGAGAAACATAAATACTGAAGAAGATTCAACGCCCTGTTCAAATTTTAACCAAAATAAAGATTGTACTATGATTCAACCATGCAGCAGGGTCAAGAAAAAGAACGGCAGCCTTTTCCTTCTTCAAGATTAATTCAAGAAGCACCAGAGGCCTGTGCACAGATTAATGTCTTCATTCATTGAACAAAGACAGGTGACACCAGAGTCTCCTCAATTGTTTGAATTGATTGACAAAATGAGATTTACATGTACAGACTGTACCTCCTTGTGATTTGAATAGCTTACTTCACTTCCTTGTAGTTTTTGACTAAAGTGTCACCGTTAGAATATCCATTAAAAATAATTATTAGAACTCAAAAGTCAAATTTGTTAATGAAATAACACCACTTTACACACATTTTTGCCTCTCCAGACTACACCAACCTCTTTTAGCTCCTCTTCCTAATAATTAAGAAGATATTCCACTTCATAAAAACAATTTATCATACAAAAGCATCAAAATTTCAAAAAGTGAAGAATATTATTATCTTTTTGTACCAAAATGTTAACCCCGATACCTGCTTCACTTTAGTTCTAAACTCAAAAGGATCATAAGGAGGGGGAAAGTAACTTACTCTAGATAAAATTACAAAATATACAATTACAATTGTATCGAGTAAGTCCAGCTAGACCACACAAATGCATTATAGCTTGTTTCACTCCATCCATAATCATAACCATAAAACAGAGAGGGAAGCCAGACCTGAAGATCCTGTTCACATCCTTTAAGTCTTTCACTGTAGTCTTTTACTTGCATAAAACATTTGTGCAGCTGCACAATATTCACATAACTATCATTTCCAAGAAAACACTAGCTGAATTCATGAATAGCAGCATGATATTTGCGGCAATCACCTTGGTCAATTGCATCTGACGATGTAAGGTGAGCTTCTTTGCAACTGTCAATGCATCCTCCAATTTCTGCAATCCTAATTTCAGTAAGGGAGAAACTAGACAAGGAAAAGGCGTGGTCTACAAAGTGACACAATCTGGGCTAATTTCCTTATGAACCAAATGGACTGCATTACTGGAAGTAAATAAAACAAATATAACCTGGGTTTTCTCCTGTAACTTCAAAATTTGCTGTTGTTTCTCGTCTTCTAGCTCTTCCATCTCAGATATCTGGCCAATGCAATGATAAATAGTGTCTTCAGTTATCACCAAACTGATAATTGAACTAATGAAGAAACATGGACAGATGGGCCACTACCAGCTAGCCTTGCTATCCTCTGGACACATAATCTTTAGAAAACTGGAATTGCCATGAAATCTATTGATATGAGAACGCCGGAGACCATATTGTCTCTCCTGGTTACCAAAAATATTAAATGCACAAATAGCCCGTAAACTACATCATTTCACAAGTAAGGGTATTGTTATACTTTCACATGAGGAAAATTACTTCAACTCTCACTTTCCATGTCTTTTCTCCTCCCTCCCATGTTTCCTCTATCTATGAGAGCACCTAGTGACTACAGAGTTAGGAAGCACCGACACTTCATTTTGGCCGAGTGTCAGTGTCGGTGTCAGACACATCTAGGACAAAGCCACGCTCAGACACGCTAAAATGAGTGTCCGATTTTTTTATTGTTAAATTTTTTTCATGGCACATTTCAAATACGTTGGGGACGCGTTTTGAGATTTTTATAGTTAAGAGTAATTTTTGTAATATAAAAAGAGTTATAATTACTACATAGAACATTGGATATGAATGTAACATAATGTTGGATACGAATGCAAACTTATATATAAATGAAATAAATTTCTATTATAAAAGTAATGTGAAAAAAAATTGAGTTACAAAATTGGGACTTTTTGAAATTGATGCAAATCAGTGTTACGAAGTGGAATATTTTCTAAAATGTAAGTTGTAATAGTCATTGATTGTTGGATCATGGATGTTAATTTTGAATGTGTATAACGTAGGGATATCATGAAGTGAATTTTTAGAATTAGGAAAAGAATAAATTAAAAAAATATTATAATAATATTTTTATTTAATCACATGATTTTATATATGTATTATTTAACGTATTCTCAATGTATCCGTATCTTATTTTTTTGAGAAGTTTTGTGTCAACGTGTCCGTGTGGTATCGTGTCCGTGTCCGTGTCCGTGCTACTTAGCTGCAGCCTGCAATCTTCCAATAAAGTACCTAAGCTTTGCCAAAATAGAAATTTGCAACAAACTCAATAATTCAATTGCTTTGCAATTGGTTCCTTCTTAAAACCACGGGCGTTCTAGTGTCACAAATGAATACATAAATTTAAGTTTACTGTAATCGAAGACATTGAAGGCCAGCCTCAAAAACTGATTTATCTAAAAGTAGGAAGCAAGATTCAACAGCATAATAATGACATCCATTCACAAATGCTGAAAAATAGGGCCCCACAGCATTATTCCGGCTACCCCCTATCAATGTGACTATTATTAATAATTCCATTTGCTAAATGTCAAGGATCAAATTTTTAGTGCGTATAAGATGCATAAGTCATAAAAAACAACCCTATACTCCTAGAACCCGCATAATAGCAATAGAATGCTTGAACTATACATACTTTTCACTATGGACGGAGGAAATAGAGAGAAAACAGACCTCTTTTTTAAGTTCTTCGAGCCTTTGCTTTGAAATATCCAATTGTTTTTTCATCTGCTAATGTACAAAAAGATAATAGCGACGTAACAAAAGGCACCGTATCAATGTTCCAAAAGCATTTGCACACCTAGTAATGTGTAAACAGCCCATCAAAGATTCTACCTCATGATCGTCATCACTCGAGTCTGATGAAGGCTCTCTACCACGACGGTCATTAAAGTTAGAACTTCTAAAAAGAAACAAGATACATAGTCAAGTAAATCTCAACTCAATGCATAAAACTGATGCAAGGCTCGATATGTATTGTTTTAACATCTTCATGGTTCTCAACTAGAACGCAAACACTAAGTTCAATGTGGTATAAACAACCCATACATATCGCTCCATAGAAACCAAAGCTTGATTGCTCAGTTGACCTAACTAATTACTTTGCAAATAACTTTTGTTCCTAATAAGTCTTGTTTCACAACATTTTCAAGCTACTAAACTAAAACAGAACCAATTAATTGCCGAGTAGAAAGATATAGTGGAAGAAAACATAATCAATTGGCTTCAATCCCAACACTCACTTGAAATCAATTCATTTGGGTGGGTGTAAGATAAATTTACATGGCGTCTAAAGTTCTCTAGTCGAGCTATCATGACACAATGTGTTTCAAAAAACAAGCCAAAATAAATATTGCAAAATACTTGTGGCAAGCCAAAATAATGGACTGTTGATCGCACACTTCCCTAAATAGAAGTAGCAAGCCACAAGTACAAATTAGGTTGTTAAGCCCATCAAACCAGTATTTAAAGTATATACCCCCAACCAACTGTCCAACACCACAAAACAAAAATAACTCCGAGATAAAGGAAAAGAATGAGGACGGAAAATAAACACACAAAAACAAGACAATTGAGACATATATATGCTTTGTTCTAAACACACGACTTGTAACAGATAAGTTGTTGTCCGACAGTTATTTAAGATAAAAGGCATACTGTATAAGTTGTTCAAATAGTTATAACCAGCACGCAGCAGCAAAGCAAAAAATACCTTACCCGTTCGGTAATTTAGACAGTTGATCTTCATCCTTGACTCGACTTTTATGATAATTGTTACTTCTTTGTGTCTCATTGTCTCGGTCACTATTCAAGTCCTGGTCTCTTTCCCATTCCAGCTCAGGGTTTCTTCTGTGTTCTCGTTCAATGTCCTCCATATCTCTGTCTTGATCTTGATCTTGATCTTGATATCTATCTCCATCCACAAGACGGCTCCTTGTTCGATCATGGTCACTTGAGTGCTCATATTCTCTTTCCCTCTCTTGATCATGGCCTCGAGATCGGTCTCTATGCCGATCTCGATAACGGTCCCTATCATGATCATAGTCGCTTCCCCTCTCTCTGCCCCTATCCCAATTCAGGCCCCTATCAGAATTACGTCGAAAACTTTCACGTCCATAATTTGGTCTCCCACCTCTGGTCTTCACTTCATTTACTTTCACCACTCGTCCATCTATAGTCTAATTCAAAGCGCCATTATGTCAAGGTCCAAAAGAATTGTAAACCACATTATATTACCACATAGAAGTACTACACCAGTGAAAAATTCAAAGAGAGAGAGTGATACCCTGCCATCCATCTCCTCAATGGCATGAATTGCAGAACGAGGATTTTTGAAAGTAACAAAGCCATAGCATTTTCCTCCAACCCCACGGTCATTGATTATCTGGCAGTAAAGCATGGTTAGTATCTAAACACACATAATATGCACAACAAACAAGCCGTGAACAAACTTATGTGCAACTCCAACCTCCCGACTTCAAGGAAACCATACTTATTCTCAACTCAACTCATCAAAGTCTTGTCTCAATACTTTTTGGGGTCAACTACGTGAATAATGTTTAACCATTATTCTTCATCAAGGGCAATATGTTCCGTTAGATCATACTTATTGCATAATAAAAATGATGTCCCTAATAATGGAAAGACTCCATAACAACCACAAGGGAAAAATAACAACCCAAAAGAAGTACGATAGTCTCTCCTCGGCCACATAATACTTATGAGAAGTACAAACATTGCCCAACTGGGAAACTAATGTATCATATTTGCTGCCCCTACCCAAAATTTCACTGTACTTCTGCTAAAATCGATCATATTAACAATTTAGGGTGCATAAGAGAGACAGGAAGAGAATGGAAGAGACCATTCCTGAAATCCTTCAACTTACTTCTCTCAGCCAAACACCGGAAAAATAGAGAATTCTAAATACACCGTCTCGAAAAACAATCCCACACCCTCACTCAGTAATTCAAGGGTTCCTTTATTTTTTTGGCTCAGTTTAACTTAAGCCCAACGTGACTTTAGTTTCAGTTAAGTTTACTTTTTTATCAGGTATCCAAACAGAGCATTAGTAAAACCTATAAACTAAGTAAAACAATATACGTGCTTGGCGCAGCAATTACTGAAGCACCACAAAAACCCTAGAAAGCATAAACCCTAAATTCAATATCAGTATACATACACACAAACATATAATATGAGGGGCCGACCTTAACGGCAACGACGGCTCCGTAAATATGGAAGACTCGACGAAGGCTCTCCTCGGTGGCGTCGTACGGAAGCCCACCGACGTATATTGAGCTGTCGTCGTCAATCGTCATTTTTTCTACCCTGCAAAATTGCAATTGGAATTTTGACAAGGTTAAAGAAAGAAGAATTCGGAAGAGATGGAAGACGGGTGGGTTGTATACTTTAGCCCTTAAACTATGAATTTTATTTTATTTTGTACTTAAACTATTATTTTTTTATATTATTTACCCAATTACTTTAATTATTTCACCTTATCCCCGTTGCAAATATAGTCTAAAGTATAATATAAAGGGTTAATTACAAATTATATCTCAAAAGATAGTTCGAATCTCAATTTGTACTATCAAAGATTAAAAATTTTAATTTGTACACTCAAAAATAGAAATTTGTATCAATGTACACCCCAAAAATAAAAAATTTTAATTTACACCCTTAAAGATAAAAATTTGTATCAATATGCACCTAAAATTAACCGCTCGTTAGTTTGCTGCCTAAAATTAAATTAATAAATTATACAAAAATCCTCTCATGCTTATCATTTAATCATTTGAACCCTTTCACATTTAAAATATTACTCCAACATTTCATGACGTTTGTGCGTGTATAATATGTAACTCCTTTTCGTTGATATCTGTTAATAAAACTGTAAAAAAATATAATTTTATTCTAATAAAAAATTATAATTTCATATTATCCTTTATTTTGTGAGTCCAATATACTCTAAAATTCAAAATCAAGTTTACCATTTGAATATCCAATAGAAAGTATGTATTTATATAATGTTTTTTATATGCAATACAATATATCACTTGAACATAATTATTTGAATGCCCAATTTGAGGACATTTTAGATTGAGTATTTTTATTAGGATTTTATAGCCGTTAAAAAATATGATTTTATTCTAATAATAAATTATAATTTTGTATTATTTTTTATTTTGTGAAAGGGTCCAAATGATTAAGTAGCAAGCATGAGAGGATCTAAGTATAATTTATCAATTTAGTTTTAGGCAACAAATTGATAACAGTTAGTTTTAGGTGCACATTGATACAAAATTCTATCTTTGAGGGTACAAATTAAAATATTTGATTTTTGGAAGTGCACATTAATACAAAATTCTATCTTTTAGGGTATAAATTGAGATTTTTGATCTTTAGAAATATAAATTAAAATTCGAATGATCTTTTCAGAGTATAATTTGTAATTAACCCTAATATAAAAAATATGATAAAGGTCATAATTGATGGGGTTAAAGTGTAATTTAATTATCCTTTCTGTAATTTGGTCGGGTCAATATGGAGCGGGCTAAGTGACCCAACTAGTTGGAGCAAGCAATACGATTCGCCCATTTGAACGTTCTGAGATTACATGTGTACACAATTGGGCTCTAAACACGTATAATACAACTTGGCCAATTTCGTAGACATATCTGTTACTCTTATAATAGAGTTTCCGATGATACTATCTAAAATAGTTATTCAAAATATATTTAAATATTATATTATTTATTTTAGTTAATTATTTTTTAAAATTCACTCCAACAACTCAATTTATTTTAGCTAACCACTTTAACTAATTTTCAATAATAAAATTCAAAAAATAGCAATTCAACTATACATTGTACAAATTTAATCAATTATAGGTTATAAGAGAGAACTCACCTCTTAAAAATTATTACTCTCAAACCAAATTCTCTCAAATTAAATTACAAAATTTAAAACAAAATCACCTCAAATTACACAAATAATTGAAGTCAAAATTTTTGAGGGATTTTGTTGGATTTTTTTGAGAGTATTCCTGAATTTTTGGGGAGAGTATATTGAATTTTTTGGGGGGTTTTGTTAGATTTTTTGGGGGTATTGCTGAATTTTTGGAGGGAGTTTATTGAATTTTTTTTCGAAGAATTTGTTTGATTTTTTTATTTCTGCAGTTGATTTTATTCAGTTAGTCGATCAAACACTTGATTTGCTTTGAGTTTGTGACTTCCGTGAATCTAAAGAACGAAAGAAAAAATGTCTAACCCTCATCCAGATTTATCATCAGATACTTCCATCACAATCACATCCCATCAAAACCTTCAATACCCATGAACCCAAATTCTACTACCAGTAGTAGTAGTACTGGTACATCTCATCTTCTTTTTCATCACCCAAAAAAGCCTAGGTCCATTTCTCTATGGCTCTCAACTTATCAAAGAATTCATTTCTCATGTTCGTCAATTTCAAAGATTGGTGAAAACCCAGTTCAAAATTTATTAAAGTCGAACACAATCGGTTGAGATTGAACAGAATCTGTGATCAAGACGATGCTGTGAAGACGATCTGCTGTGTACGCTATTTGTTTTACTGGATTGGGGGGGGGGGGGTTTGCTAGATTTTTGGGAGTTTACTAGATTTAATCACAACTCATCGTCTTCCCCGAGAGAGACACAGACCATACCTGCTTTGGAGCTTTGCCTCCAGTCTTCGGTCGGTGGAGCTTTGCCTTCAGTCTTCGGTCAGTGGAGCAAGCCTTCTGCGTCGGGGGTGTTGTTGGTGCAAAAATAAAATAGCTAACTGTTTTGCCTCGCCGGGGATAGCTAGCCAAACGAAGACAATGAGAAATAACTATGGCCTGTTGGAGACGAGATTTAAGTACTGTTTATGTAAAATAGCTAAGAAGGCCTTTTTACCTTAGTTTGTAGGAGATGCTCTAAAAGCAACTCCAAGGGACTAGGTAAAGGGGTGTTTTTAGCTATTTTAGATAGTCAGTTTAACGATGCTATCTAAAATAGCTACTCAAAATATATTTAAATAATGTATTATTTATTTTAGTTAATTATTTTTTTAAATTCATTCAAACAACGTTATCTATTTTAACTAATCACTTCAACTAACTTTCAATAGTAAAATTTAAAAAATAGAAATTTAATTATAAATTATATAAAATTAATCAATTATAGACTACAAGAGTAAATATCATAAAATTATGGGTTACAAGAGAAAATATCATAAACTACTTGGGGGTTTGCTAGATTTTTGAATTTTTTTTAAAAATTTTACTAATTTTGGGCTGGATTTTGAGGGGGAGTTTGCTGGATTTTAATCAACTCATCGTCTTCCTCGTTCTGAAAGAGAGAGACCATACATGGTGATACAAACTTCTGATGAATCATCCGACCAAGAAACAAAAAAAAAAATAGAAACCATCTTTGATTTGAGCTCTAGAAAATAGGATCAAAAGGGTTTGATGCGGATTGTTAGCCTAAACAAAGAAATACTCTTTAACCCTTTGTTCTTCAACAAAGCAAAAACTAAATACTAAGATTTTGCAGAAACTGGTCACCATAGTACTGAAACATTTAAGTAAATAAGTTCATACACAAATTCATACATAATTTAATTTATTTGGTTAATGCCACCACCAAAAGTGTCTGAATCTCAAACCCGCTTTGAAAGCTAAATACAAAACTACCTGCAAGAGAGAGGACTGATCTGGACTAGCTACATTTGGACTAGTTGCATCTGAAGCTTATGTGGAGTAAGAATTTTGGCACAAAAAAATAGCATTTGATGATGAAGTAGCTGGTCGAGGAGGTCACCAGATGTAGCGGGCAAATATCAGGCTATGGAACATATCTGGCCATTGGAACTTACATTTCTGAACTGGCTATCTAAAATAGCTAAAAACACCCCTTTACCTAGCCCCAAGGAGTTGCTCTTAGCGGCCCCGTTTAATATCCTCCTTTTATTTATTTATTTTTTTACTTTTTCAAGTGTTTTTATTAAGGTGTTGTTTCATATTTTTGTTTTTGTAGTTTTTCAATATTACTATTAACGAAGGGAGAGAAGGGAGGGTGAGAACAGTGGGATCACTATAGTAGCTAGAGTGATTCTTCTTATATGGCTGGACGCCATGCATGGATTACCATCACATTCTCTCTCAACAGACTTGAAACACTTTGTAATAAAGTGAGGTAGAAAATTGGATGCAGGTTAATATCCACGTCAGATAACATCATAAACATTTCTATTTTCTTCTTCTCTTAACTACCTACAACTCCCTCTCCAAATGTGCTCAACCACATATACCCTAATACGTAGCAAAATGCATATAAATCATTTTTACAAAATAATAGTCAGCTATACTTTTTTTTTAATTTATGAAATTGCTTTTTAAATTTGAAAAAGTTCAAACAATGTTACCAAATGGAAAAGGTTGCGAATTGTTATGTATACTGCTAGAGTCCCATGGCAATAGTAAAACAATCAAATTCAAGAACATGGAATGCCAAATCTCTCTAAACAGAATGTGATCTTAGAATTTTCGAGTAGTGTTTTCATCTCGCTTTTGTAACCCCTGCATTGAATTTTCACCCTTTTGTGCCATGGACAATATCCATTGAGAAAGGGTATTAACTTCTCTCCTCCGGGGAGATGCACTTTCAGCTTTCCTACTAGAAAAGAGAGGGTATTCTACAAAACAATTTCATCCGGTGAGAGCTTTAAGCAGACCCAATGCTCTACATGTTTGGCGATTCTAAGTTTAATTTTGTTAAGCCTAAGATTAATTACCCAAGTTTCTCTCTCTCTCTTTCTCTCTCTCTATGTGTGTGTGTGTGTGTGTGTGTGTGTGAGACAGAGAGAGAGTATAAATCACCACTACGAATCGACTGGGGAACACCAGAAAGTGAAACACCAGTGTCATTATTCTTATGGGATTACTGTTGCCACATGAAGGTGCCTTCTGCCTTCTGCCTTCTGCAACTGAAAAGAGTAGAATTCTTCATTTCATATTTTTCCTTTTTTCGGTAGAGACTAGCAAGAAACCTTTGTGGTTTCATTTGACCCTCGATACCCACAAGGAGGTCCTCCACAAAAAAGCAGGTGCTAAAAAGCCTTGGCCACAGGTGAATAAGGCTGAAGAAGAAAGCAAAATGAGCCCAGTCTCTCAAGATCTTTAGAACAAGTCATAGTTACAAAAACTGGAAGGACTGACAAATGTGAAACACAACAAATGGTTCGAAATCGCCCCCGGTTTGGGTGTTGCTCTAAGAATTTTTCAGGCTCTACAATACTATTTTTGTTTCACCACAAGCAAATATGTTGAATACACTTGAACCTCTAACAAAAAGGAGAACACAGGTTTTACATCAATCCAGAGCACTCATAAACAATCAAAGCAATAGGATGCTTCATCCTGACATACGACCAAGAAGCCCAAGACAATGCTTCCAATAGTTGATGAATAAGGTAATCCGTAACATCAGTTAGACATTATAAAAGATTGGGTACTCCCAGATCAATGCAGCTTTAAACACACAATGAATAAACACCTCATCAACATTTAAATGGGCATCAAGACCACATTGTAAAAAAAACTATAATCTTATTTCTTTTATAGGAAACCAGATAATCTTATTAATCAAAAAGAAAGTGTAAAAGTACATGGGAGGACAAGGAATCCTCTATAGGAAAATCAAGAAAGAAAATTTGAAAAAAGAGAAGCTTACCACAAGCTTCAAGCAAAACACAAAGAAACATGGAAACCAAAACGATGAAGTAGTTGTGTGTGTGGCATTACTATTCACCCTCTTCGGCCCAATGGTAAAAAAAAAAAAAACATATTAACTCAACCCAACAAAGCCTTGTCCCAATAAAATGGGGTGATATTATGAAGTTTAAACAATTGAGTCTGCAGCAAGTCATAGGAAGCAAGTCTGGATGTTCTTACTATCATCTTCTTAAGACATAAATAACACTTGATCTGGGGATACATAATTTTCAGGGAAACAAATATTATAGAACAACAAGTGAAGAAATCAAAGATTTGCCAAGAAAATCAACTATGATGATTCATGCCCCTTCCTTTTGACAGTTCATTGCCAAATTCATGAAACAACAGACACATCCACTACTTCATAATAAGTCACCCATTACAACCACCGCGCATCAAGTGCTCAAAAAGCTACAGATGAGAACACCAACGCAAAATCCTTGAAAACATAATATTCCAGATTTGATACAAGAAAGACACTAACAATTATCCCAAATTTCAAATAAGTAGACCCTCTTCGGCAAAGGCCAAAGCAAGTGCAAATACTCATACACCAGAAATTTTACCAGATATGCCCTTTTCTTCATCCTCATCTGCATACTCATCGTCATCAATTTTACTGTCCAACTGCTTAGCTGCTGTGTCGCGCTGTGGGGAAGGATTGCCACCTCCAGTAACCGATTGCTGATAAAGAACACCTCCCGCAATCGTTAAGAGAAGACAAACCAAACCAAAAGGACTAGCATGTTTATCCCAAATCAACACGTTGATTGCAACCGTCAAAAATTTATTAACCACACCAGTCACTGTAAATGCAGTGGCAGAGATTGCCTTCCTCGCCGCAAACCCAAAGAAACTTATAAGCAACCCAAACACACAAGACAATGACACTGCCATGAATGCAACAACGTTAAACAAATTCCCGGAACTTGATCCCACGGCAGAAAACACATCAACATACTCTCCCGTAATTATCCAAAAAACCGGAGCCATCATCAACGACAACAAATTGTTGTAATAAACAAAACCCCAAGTATTCAACCCAAGATTGGTCACCATATGCTTAATATAAACCATCTCAGTAGTAATTGTCACCAAATAAGCAAATGCCCACGAATAAGCAGTCAGTGTAAACCCTGAATCAGTGGCAACATAACCAACAGCCCCACCCAATATAATCAACAATGACGAAAACGTAAACTTGGATGGACATGGTTGCTTTCTGAATGCAGTATCGGCAATGGCAACCAATAAAGGTGTCAATGATCTGAACACTATAAATGTATCCACATTGGCGTGACGCAAAAGATTGGTATTTGTGAAGATTGCTAGGTAAAAAACAAAGGCAGCGGGCAAGAATTTCTTGGCAGTTTCAAATGTGAATGGATCATGGTGTAAACACCCTACTTTGCCCAAAACCCAAACACCTAGAGCTGAAGTCAGGTACTGTAGTGCAGTGAGAAGACCAGGGTAATTAAATTTGGTAATGGCAAACTTGTTTATCACTGCTAACAAGCTCGAACACAGAGCATAACCCACTACAAGACTGCTTGTTGCATAGTATTGCTTTGATGCATCTAATCTAATCGATGCCATCGGTTTGTTTTTGGGTTCTCAGGGTTTTTCTTTTTCTTTTCTCTCCAACTGCACAGCTAAATTTAGTGAATCTGAACAAAGTAAGGAACTTTGATGGACAGATTTGATACCGGCAGACTTAAATGAGTGAGAAACGAGAGGACTGAGCAACTAATCGGCTTCATTGCGATGAATGTAGTGGTCAAGATTTTTCTTGATCTGAAAAATTCGTGGAAAATGTGGAACGATTTTCAAAAACAGAATGAAAGGGTTAAATTGAAAATCTGCTAAATTTGCGGCGAAATGATGGAGAAAAATAGCTATAATTGATTGAAATTTCAGTAAAGAAATTGCGAGTCACTACTAGACTGCGATACCCTGGTGAAATGTGAAGAGAAAAATCTGCAAATTCAGATGAACAATGGCAGAAAAACAGAAATATCTATCACGAACGCATCTAAGAATTCAAATCGGAATCAAATTAAAGCCAAAAAGTGATGAAAATAATGGATCGAGGAAGGAACCTTCTCACGTGACTGATCTGAGCAGCTTCAGATCTTTGAATGCTTGGAGAGAGCGAGCGAGCGAGAGAGAGAGAGAGAGCGTTTTGAAGAGTTATGCAGTAAGATCTTGCCGTAACTGAAAGGCTTAGCAGTGGTGGGGCCGTTTTGAAGAAGAGGACGGAGGTGGGGACGCAGTTGCCAGGAAAACACGACGTTTTCTTTTCATGGGCTTGGACTTGATCTAGATGGACGTTTTCATGGACATTGTTATCTAGATGGACCTGCATTCCCACTTGATCTGACTATTCAACAAAATTTAATTTTTATAATTTATATTTAAATTATAAATATAAATCATTAAAAATTTTAGTAAATTACACATAAATTTCTACTCAGTTTAATCATTTAATCACTAAATTTAATAAGATATTTTATGTAATTCAGACACTAAATTTAATAAGATATTGTATATAATTCAGAGCAGATCATAATAAATAAAATTTAAATAATCTATCAAAAAATTAATTTACATTCCACTAATCAAATTTCTATTCGAATTGAAATCCGGTCCTCATTTCATTGTTATAGGTCACAGAAGATGTTAGTCCAGTTACAAGTGGCCCATTATCGTAGAAACCCACCAGGCTAGGGATGGCTAACCGATCACATAATGCCCATGAGTAGCCCACTAACCTTTATGGATGGGCCATGGCCACAAATTTTCCCCATTAAACCCAATTAAGGCCCATGAGGCTTCCCATCGAGCAAATCTATGGCCTGACCCATTGGCTTAGGACGGCACCTGGATGTGGTTCAATATAGTGGTTGATGGCAATATCTATGAGAGTTCGTAGTTGGAGATGCACCTTACCCTGAAATGAAAGTTAGTTTATTTGAATTCCAATAATAGCTCAAGTGGTAACAGAAATGAATTATAAACTCAAACATCCCAGAGATGATTAGTCGAATTGTGCATAAGTTATTTCAGATATTTTTGACCGTTGAACAAAAAAAATAAATAAATAATTAGTTCACTTCAAGTTAGGGGCTGAGAGGATATTTCCCTGGTGTTTGACAGTGAGTGTACTCTTGCGAAAATTCTAAATTAAAAAGATATGTTAACAAGATATGCTTCACAGACATTCAAGATAGGTGTTGAAGTAGTCGATGAATATGATGAGTGTCATAGAATTTTCAAAAGAATTATGTGATCGAGAAGTAACAAATTACTATTTTAACTTAGTAAAAAATGGATATTGGACACGAAACGCAACGATACTTGTATTAAGACATAATACATGACATAAACAGTGAAACACCGATGAGGTGATCGGTCCCGATGAGTAGATCCTGAGGGAACATATCTTTGGCAGCAAGGAAAAGAATGCGACCCTGTGGCCGAGCAATCAATGTTGTGCAGGAAAATGGGCCTCCCGTGATGCAATTTATTGCAATGGATGATTATTTGCACAGGCACATTACAGTAAATCACACTTCGAATATAAAAGAATTTGGATAAAGGCACAACCCTAATTAACGTAGACTGTTCGGGAGCGCATGTATTTAAGTGTGCCTTCAACGCCAGTTCATTGAATATTTGGTGCAACATAATAAATGTCTGGCATAAGTCATTAAATATTGAGAAGACATGCAATAAGTGTGTTGTGTCTCGAACAAAGTAATCATTGCAAGGCTACACCCTAAGAGTTGTCAACTTTTTTCAAGCCTAATAATTACATGTACGACTCGTCGAGAAGGTACCTAATGAATGATTACTCAAGTACTGTTAAATAAAATGACTTGATAGGACTTTAGAATGTCATGTCATTATCTTTGAAGATATACATAATCAAATAAATTGGGTATCAAGTACAGAATCTAAGTCATTCTAGTACCGTAAAAAATCTTATCTTTCTTTTGAACACCTATTAAATTAGGCATCAAAAGAAATAAGTCGGGCACGTCTCCCGTCTACCTTCTAACTCCATTCGTTGTTGCAGGACACTCAGTTGGCCTCACCTTCGTGGTACAGTTTCAAACTATTGCATAAGAAAGCACTCGTACAAATTCGTTTTAATTCTCAACTCGACTGAGCTAAACAAAGAGTTTATCCTAATTCGACATTTCTTTAGTGCTTGTTGATTATTTGCAGAATCATTGTGAGGGAAGGGGGATGGAGACGGGTTATGGAGTGAATAATTCCAAATCCAATGTAGGAGATTGGAGACCAAATGTCTGATTCATGCAATTCTTTTATGATTGTTCAAAGTTGCTTCCTGTTTTGTTCTGTTGATATTACAATCATACATAAGTTCGCATCCTTGTAAGAAATCTCTTGCTTTTTGGTCATATTTATCCCAGAGAGAGAGAGAGAGATCCATCCCATAAAAAAAATACTGGCAACCAAGCAAACATTCTCATCCAAATCAACCTGTAGTATAGCATCGAAGACAAAAACAAACAACACATCAGTCTTCCATTAAAATAAAATAAACAAAGGTTTATTTTGTTAACTAATAATCTATAACCAGACATATGACTATCATTACGTCACTGGTCCTATGATAATTTCCTCAAATGACAAAAGAATACATACCTTAAATTCCATTAAAATAAACATCAAAGGCCTCCGACCAATATATAGCCTTTCTATAAACCACAAAAATAGTTGGGAATCATGACAAACCCATGATTAGGGTTAGAAGCAAGGATTGAGGCCCTTTTTTTTTCTCTCTCTCTCTCTCCATTTTTTTCTCCTCACATAAGAAGGAAGGCGCCTTGATGTGGTTCAATAGAGGTTGATGACAATCTCCATGAGTTCCTAGTTGCAGATGCATCTGACCCATGAAATGAAAGTAAGTTCACTTCATGTGACTAACAAACCCATATTTGCACAAATACCAAAAAGTGAGAAACTGGTAATCTCATCTCCAGTTTGTGTGTTGATCTTCTGAAAGATGTACAACAATTGAAAATTTCATCGTGTATAAGGTTTTACCATTCATCAAAAGTGGATTGGAGAACTCAAGTTAGGGGATGAAGCTATTCAAGACCTATTTCTTTGACAAATAGAAAGTAAAGAAGATGATATTTCCTGGTGCCTGACAGTGAGTGTTCCCTTGTGAAAATTCTAAATTAAAAAAATATGTTAACAAGACATGGTTCAGAGGGTTTCAGAAACTTTGGTGCTGGAGCAGTCAATGAATATTAGGATTGCCAAAAGTATTCTGTGAGGAGTAACAGATTGCTGTTTATAACTTAGAAAGAATGGATACATTCTAGTTCTCAATCTGACTCGGCTAAACAAAGGGTTTATCCCAACTCAACATTTCTTTAGCACTCGTTCATTTGTAGTACTATTGTCATAGGGCAGAGGCGGTAGCGAGAGCCGGAGAGGGTTGGGGAAGAGGGGTTTGGAGTAAATAATTCCCAATCCCATTTAGGAGATTGGAGACCAAGTGTCTGATTCATACAATCTTCTATGATTATTCAAAGTTGCTACCTGTTTAGCTCTGTTGATATTACAATCATACATATGTTCGCAACCTTGTAAGAGATNCAATCATACATAAGTTCGCATCCTTGTAAGAAATCTCTTGCTTTTTGGTCATATTTATCCCAGAGAGAGAGAGAGAGATCCATCCCATAAAAAAAATACTGGCAACCAAGCAAACATTCTCATCCAAATCAACCTGTAGTATAGCATCGAAGACAAAAACAAACAACACATCAGTCTTCCATTAAAATAAAATAAACAAAGGTTTATTTTGTTAACTAATAATCTATAACCAGACATATGACTATCATTACGTCACTGGTCCTATGATAATTTCCTCAAATGACAAAAGAATACATACCTTAAATTCCATTAAAATAAACATCAAAGGCCTCCGACCAATATATAGCCTTTCTATAAACCACAAAAATAGTTGGGAATCATGACAAACCCATGATTAGGGTTAGAAGCAAGGATTGAGGCCCTTTTTTTTTCTCTCTCTCTCTCTCCATTTTTTTCTCCTCACATAAGAAGGAAGGCGCCTTGATGTGGTTCAATAGAGGTTGATGACAATCTCCATGAGTTCCTAGTTGCAGATGCATCTGACCCATGAAATGAAAGTAAGTTCACTTCATGTGACTAACAAACCCATATTTGCACAAATACCAAAAAGTGAGAAACTGGTAATCTCATCTCCAGTTTGTGTGTTGATCTTCTGAAAGATGTACAACAATTGAAAATTTCATCGTGTATAAGGTTTTACCATTCATCAAAAGTGGATTGGAGAACTCAAGTTAGGGGATGAAGCTATTCAAGACCTATTTCTTTGACAAATAGAAAGTAAAGAAGATGATATTTCCTGGTGCCTGACAGTGAGTGTTCCCTTGTGAAAATTCTAAATTAAAAAAATATGTTAACAAGACATGGTTCAGAGGGTTTCAGAAACTTTGGTGCTGGAGCAGTCAATGAATATTAGGATTGCCAAAAGTATTCTGTGAGGAGTAACAGATTGCTGTTTATAA